TCTTGATCCTATATCACCTATGATTTTCCTGATTGGTTGATAAATTGGGTCAATTTCGATATGTTTGTGTGATTGCTAATTGACCTGAGTGCCAAGCTTCTAAAAATTCCTTAGTGTTCTTTGTTCTCCCCACATTGTTCCAATCGAACGTGTGTCCATAATTGTCAGTGTGTATTGATATAAGCGAAGCGTTGTCGTGGCGTTTGACTGCTAATTGATTTTCACGTAAACGGAGCTGAAGAGGCCGTCCACTTTGTTCTATGTAGTGTTTTTTACTTCATTTCACTTCACGTCTATCTGAAGTTTGTGCTGATGATGTTGATTTAGAAGAACAAGAATGAAAGCTCCACACAACCAAACCCCATCCAGCTCAGAGAACCAAACACCACCACCACCACAATGATGAAATGATTTTAACTGGACAACCATTGAATACCATGAATACAATGGATCATTGTGCAACTTCTAACTAGTATGCATTTAGGATCCCATTAAAGATTGATTGTATGACCTTTAGGTTTCATAGTTAGTACTTGACTTTCATACTAACAGTTTTAGAATTTTGGTTTCAATCAATTAATAGTTTGGTCTAGTAACAACTGTGCGCTTGTTATAAGACCTGAATACCTCGAGTTCAATCCTTTGTGATGTCGTAGCTGTCCTGTTTCTAGTAATCTAATACTAGAACAAAATAAGTGGTTCTTGATTCCAATCTCACACTAATCTAGATACGGTCCGCTGATTGGAAAAAATATATTAGCTGAAAGAAGACGACGTATTCATTTCGACCGTTGTTTGACATTCATCAGTTCACGATCTAAAACTTAAATTGGTCAACCTGTTATGCTTGAACTATTACGAGTTCACCTTAATCGGTAAACGAGAGCTAAGTCAAATGATCTAGTGTCACGTAAGGCTACTCTAATCCAAGCGTCCCAAGCCCCCACTGACGGTATCGAATAGTCTTGATATGGTGTAGAAAGTGCATTCTACAAACAACCAGAAAATATGAAGTCTTGTGCAGTAGAAAAGGAGCATAAAACTTGACAGACAATGTATATTTATACAGTTAGGTCGACTGTGAATAGTAGCCAATAGGGAAAGAACTTTTAAAAGAGTATATGAACTTGATAGCTAAGGACGACCTTGAATATTGACCAATAAGAAATAGACTCACAAAATAATTTCTTTAGGATATTTAATGAATATCCTAACACAATCTCTAAAATCTCCTCATATTCTTTGATGCATGCCTATATGTTAAAATAATTACAGACAATGAATTGTTTTTTTATAGCGAACTAATAATGACTCAGAAGTCAAAATGCTTATAAGTCAGTTGAAAATCGTTTAGTCCAGTCAAAAAATCAGTACTTATACAGATTAAGCCATTCGATTTCTTTACTACTACAATTTTCCGCTGCCTATGAGGAGTAATTGACTGGTTTAAGAACTTACTGGATGAGGAAAATACTTAAATACGTACGCATGTTACCCCTAATGGAGCATAGACCGCCGATCTGTATTCTTCAACCAACTCTGTCGTCGGCATTTTCGAGTTCTATCCGATTGTTGCTCATTCTTTTCATATCTGCTTCTAACTCTTCGCGCCATGTGTTCTTTGGCGTCCCTCTTCTCCTTCAGCCTTGAGAATTCCAAGTTTGGGCTTGCTTTGTGTCACAGTTGGGTGATTTACTCGATGTATGTCCTATACACCTCCAACGATCTTTCCTAATTCTTTTCTCAGTTGGGATCTGGTTTGTTCTCTCGCAGCGTAGGATTTTACTGGCGTTTCTTTGCTAATTTGGCATGATTACCTGAACTTATGTACGTACGTACCAAGTTATACATTGTAACTGACTGACTGTCTGATCAACGGATTCTTAATATCTGGTGTAAACAGCTGTTAACAAACACTTGTATGTTTTGGATGATGGTTTTCGTGTTTTTTTAAGTCTCCTGCCCATACAGTAGAACTGTTTTGACATTCGTATAGAAAATTCTGACTTTGGTGGTGGTTGATATTAATTTTGAGTTTCAGATGCTCTTCATTTGAAGAAATGATGCCCTTGCTTAACCGGTCTGTGCCTTCACATCTGCATCAGATCTACGGTGCTAATCAATGTTGCTGCCCAGACTTGAAAAGATTTTTACATCCTCCAAAGCTTCTCCGTGAAGTTTAATTTGATCTGTGTATGCTGTGTTGTATCGGAAGATCCTTCTTCTTACCCTATTTACGTTGAGACCTACTGCTACAGAGGCTGACGCTACACTGACCGTCTCCTCTTGCATATTTGTTTTTATGTGTAAGACAGAAGAGCTCGATCATTTGCGAAGTCGATATCGTCCACCTGCATCCTAGCTGTCCACTGTATTCCGTGCTTCCTCTTGCGATACTGACGTCTTCATAATCCAGTCGACTACCAGGAAAAAGAGAAAGGGTGGTATTAAGCAACCTTATCTGACCTCAGTCTTCACTTGAAACGAGTCTGTCAGCTGTTCCCTATCCAGGATCTTTCGCCGTAGTTCTTTATTAAAATCCCGTATAATGTTGACTATCTTCTCAGGCACACCATAGTGTCAAAGAAGCCTTCATTGTGTCATCCGTATGGACAGTTCACACTGTTTAGCGCTTTCTCGCTGTCAATCAAGTTGATGCACAATGGTGAATTCCATTTAAGAAGAAAACTCAATGCCTATGCTCTGTGTAATTAACTGTCTACTAAAGAATAAACTAGATAAGAAGGTTCTGGGCCGTTTCGGTCAACTACATCTGGTTTCAATTATCATTTTGCTTTTGACCATCATTTTTGAAAACTTACTGTAAAACTATTGACTGTTTCAGTTTTCTTGGCCTTAAGTTCGATTCCTTAGAGCATAAATGTGCGCACTTATTTCTAATTAACTGCCAAATTAAAACAAATCGACTATTCAATGCCGTTTTTTACAATCGTTTTTGCCTCTTTAAACGATATATTTTCATCATTCGTTGGTGTAGGTGTCGACTACCGGGTTGGGATCCGCTAGACAATAGTAACCGACGGTTAGATACCTTTGTAGTGAAGGTGAACACAGGTGAGGGCAACCCAATTGTATTTAACGAAAATTACAGAGTTACTCAGTAAAATAGGAAAACCATATCGTAAACGGTTAATTTGCAAATCTTCAATCTATCATCAATCCATTGTCTGACATTTCACTTATTCATGCGTTTCATACAAATTCCATTGTGTTCCCACTGTTCCTTTCTTGATCTTCCCCCATCTTCTGCTGCCACACATTACGTTTTTACTCGCGTCATATACTACTTATAAGTAGCGCGCACCACACCTTGAATGACTAGCTCAAAGTTGTTTGCAATGGCGCAGGTGCATCCATTTTTAGTCTTCTCTTTCAAATCCTAATCTTCTGAATTGTTCATGACCTCTCTTTTACTCTTTTTAAGTTTATTGCACTATATTCTACTTCTTGAATAATATCTTCGGACTCTCTAATCTTCTCCATTACCGCTAATACTTCTACTACCTCTATTCTACTATGGGATTTGAATTGACAATCCTCTCTTTCTGCTAACATAGTACGACAACTTGAACTGGTGTACACACGTACCTATGAAATTCTACGTTGTAGCTGACTGATTGACTGACTGACACATTTTTATTGATTAAATATGATGATTTAATATGATGACAGTTTTTCCCAATGAATTTTCTGCTTTCTTCTTCTTCTCCAAAAATTCTAGATTTGTCAATGAAATTATTGGAAAATGTTTAAATATTTTATCAATTGGTTGTAAACAATTCAATGAAGAACAAAATTATCATCAGCTACGGTTAAATCCATTTCATTTATTTAGTTTGGTTGATTGTGAAACGAAATGGTTTGTACAATCTACAGTGAGTTTCTGAATGAAAATGAAACAGCATGATCAGCATGATTATTGAATGATTTATAACAAATAGATTAAAAACCTAGAAGCGCTGGACGGCCGTTTCGTCCTAGTATGGGACTCCTCAGCAGTGCACATCCACGAATTTGATCAAGTTAGACATTAACACCGTTAGGTACCGGCTCAGTGGTCTAACGGTTAGGGCGTTTGCCCACAATACCGAAGGTCCTGGGTTCGAATCATGCGAGGTGCAGGAGTCGCGGATTCGCACTACTGAGGAGTCCCATACTAGGACGAAACGGCCGTCCAGTGCTTGCAGGTTTCTAATGATGGTCTAACATTGATCGATTCATGGTTTCAAAAAATGTGTAACTTAACAATCTTCACAGCCCTGTAATGCAAATAGATTAAAGTTAAAATTGTACGATTTTCCCGCGAGTGATATGCTTGAATGCTACTAGTACGAGTTCAGCTTAGAGTCGGTGAACGAGAGTAAAGACAAATAATGATCCATTGGCACGATAGGCTACTATAATCCGAGCGTCCCAATGCCCCGCACTAAGTACAGGAAGAAGTATTGACAAGAAGTAGAAAGTGTATTCTACAAGCACTCAGAAAATATGCGGTTGACAAGCACACACAATCGAGTTTATTTATACAACATGATAGAAACGTCCTAGGGAGAGCCACGGAAATAGCGTACCAGTATAATTCATCAACCAATAACAACAGTCAAGGATTTCCCCGAGTGGGAAGTGAAATATCAAGATCAACTGATAAGCCCATGCGATCGTACATAAAATCCAAAACTAGGAGTTCTGCGGGATCTGACGTCCCCAACACTGACCCAATAGTTTGATTGGTCATGCTTGCACAATGATACATAAAGGTCTTAGTTTTTATTACCTAGAGAGATCATGGGTACACAATGATGATGAGGAGTTCTCGAAGAAAAAGGTTAAGCGTTGTCGCGCCGGGTCATAAGCTCTGGGATCGAATCTGTTACGCATGCGCGTAAACATGTCATTTGAGATGCTTGGATTATTACGAGTTTACCTTAGTCGGAAAACGAGAGCGACCATCGAGGATCCGGCGACACCATATGCTAATCTAATCCGAGTGCCTCAACCTTCATTGAGTAAAAGAAGAAGACTAGATATGAGGCATAACGTGTATTCTACAAACATCCAGAAAGTATGAGGTCCGAGTTCAGAAGAGAATCGTTATCCCGGACTAGGGATCCGGGTACGGGTCCTAAAACGTTACAGATAATGCGTATATAAACAGTCAAGTAGAATCGGAAACAGCATTGAAGTCTGTGACATTGATAGTTAGGATGACCATAATATTGACCAACAGGAATCGACCAATAGAATTCACACTTACAAAATAATTCTTCTTAGGATATTTGGTGTATATCCTAACAGAATCCTGTGAGTAACAGGTGTCGTGGATACGCGCACCGCTGATGAGTCCTGTACAAGGACGAAACGGCCTTCCATTTCTTTCAGGCTTATAATGGTGGTCAAACGATGATTAAATCACGATTTCAATGTAAGATAAAATGATCGCACCGTGCTCTCTGATTTTAAATGGTAACCAAGTAGTGATCAAGGTTGCGATGCATGAGACGATAGCTATTTCAGAGAGCATTTCAGCTAACCGTGTTTATATGAGTGCAAATGTATTTTGATACGTTTTTCTTGTGATTTTTTATTATTGAGTTCCATTGAAATTATGGACTGATCATTGTTAGGCCGCCATTAGAATCCTGGAAGTACTGAACGTCCGTTTCGTCTTAGTACGGGACTCATCAGCAGTTTGCATCCGTGATCGGTGTAGGCAGTAACTACCGAAAACAGTGAGTGAGGTTGCGTAATATAAGGGACTGATTAAAGTTAGGCATCAACACTTTTGGCTACCAGCTCAATGGTCCAGGGGTTAAGCATTCGTGCGTGAGACCGTAGGTCCTAAGTTCTATTCTTTAGTTTGAAGGTTGTGGATGCGTATTGCTGAAGAGTTCTATGATGAGACAACAACTTTCTCATTTTCCATTTTACTTTTTTGTTTTATATATTAAAAATAATATCAAATTAACGTGAATCTTCAATATTTGCTGGCGATTATTTGAACAAATTCTCCATAGAATTGTCTTTCTTTTTCCTCAAATAGAATCAAATTTTTTAAATAAACAAATGCAAAAGATGTAATTGGTTTCACATTTTTCAAAATCGACATTAAAAAATTACTTCAAATAAAAAATGCGCCTAGACTTTTGAAATATTATCAACTGTTATCTTTTGTTTCAGTCACATTGAGTCGAGCATAGAAGAGGAATTTGAAAAGTTCGTGTTACGCCTGCACGTAAACACGTCAACTTGATATACTTGAACTATCACGAGTTTACCTTAGTCGGAAAACGAGGGCGAGGATCGAGGATCAGGCGACACGACATACTACTCAAATCCAATTATCCCAGCCACCCCCCCCCCATGATAAGTAAAAATAAGAAGACTTGATATGAAGTAGAACCTGTATTCTACAAGCATCCAGAAAGTGCGAGGTCCGAATCCAGAAGAGAATCAGGATCCCGGGCTAGGAATCCGAGACCGAGCCCTGGTCCTGGTCCTGCTCATAAAATGTTACAGAAAATGAGTATTTATACATTTCGGTTGAATAGGAAACAGCATCGAATTCTGTGACATTGACAGTTAATACGACCAATAGGAAGTAACATTTGAAATGACATTGACAGTCCGGATGACGAATAAGAGACAACATTGAAGTATTTGACTTTGACAGTTAAAACGACCATAATTTAGACCAATAGAATTTGACCAATAGGTATGACCAATAATTCTCTTAGGATATTGGATGAATATCCTAACAGTTCGATCGTTTCATTTATATAGTAAATATTCACAGGGAAATTTATGTGCAGGGAATTTATTCAACTGGTGGTTGGTAGTATAGTGAATACTACTCGGCAACGTGGGTTATAAGTAGTATGTGGCAAGGTGTCACTGAAAAGTTACCGCTGAGGTGAAGAGTACCGCATCCGGATGTATGCAGCGACCTGTTAGGTTATTCATCAAATATCCTAAGAGAATTATTTTTAGAAGTCTAATTCTATTGGTCGATTTCTTAGTAGTCAATATTATGGTCGTCCTAAATATCAATGTCACGTACTTCAATGTGATTTCCTATTCGACCTAACTGTATAAATATCCATTATCTGTAACGTTCTATGACCCGGATCCTTTGTAAGGGATCCTTAGCCTCTTCTGGACACGGACCTTGTACTTTCTGGATGCTTGTAGAAGACATGCTCTACTTCATATCAAGTCTTCTTCTTTTACTCAATGGGGGTTTGGGACGCTCTGATTAGAGTAGTCTGTCGAATCGCCGAATCCTCGTTCTCGTTTACTGACTAAGGCAAACTCGTAATAGTTCAGGCATATCAAAATGACATGTTTACGTGCATTCGTAACATGGTCAAAGCCTTTTATTGAGACTGCTTGTTTTTGCTGGGGATGTTAGATCCATAGAACTCGCTTGATAAATGCCTTATTTTGGATTTCACGTTTGCCAGCATGGGCTGATCAGTTGACCTTGAGATTTCATTTCCCACCAGGAAAATCCATGGCTGTGATTGGCTACTGTGTATTTTAGTGTGTTATTTTCGTAACTGTCCCAAGGATGTTTCTATGATGTATAAATAAACAAGAGTTGTGTGCTTGGTTGTACTGTGATTGCTGGTTGTTTGCAGAATATACTTTCTACGCCTACAAAGCCTTCTGTTTACAGCTTGGGATTCAAGGTAGCCTATCTGGACGTTGGTAATTGTCTCGTTCACGTTTATCGACTAAGGTGAACTCGTAATAGCTTCAAGCGTACCAAGTGACGAACATAACAGTTTTGCAAATAGGAGTTGGCAGATAAGCTGTACATATTTTGTTTGTAAACTAATGTCTTCTTCAAATACAACAGCACTATTTCATTCGGTTTTGACGTCTTTGTTTATTTACTCCAACTGTATTGATTCTTCAGTATTTCATAGTATTTTGAGTAAAACAAACTATTCTACATTCATGCATTATTTCTATTGATCTGTTTTTTTTCTTGGTTTTTTTTATAGCATGGCGCCTATTGTTGTAACGCTTTGATTGTTCAATTGAAAAATAATTATGATTTAGTAAGTTGTTCAATGATCAATTTTTATTAGGGATGATAAATAAAATTTAGTTAGATAACTTAAAAGAAACAATTGTTTGATCCTATTTAAAATTTGGACACCTCATTTCGCTTTAATGATATGAGTCCTTGAATGTTTAAAACCTTTATTAAGCATTACGTGCTACTACTGACAGGCGCAGAAGACTGTATCATGCAAATTTACACTCAGTCATTAAAAAACGAAAACATTACATTGAATACTCTTTTTGCACACCATCTTTGAGTCGTGACTTCCAACGCTCTATCCTTCTTCCATTCCTGTTGTGGCTTCCTTTCCTTCCTGTTGGTCATTTATTTACTTCTTGCTTTTGCTCCATTCGCTTTCCGTTTTCCGCTTCTCACCGTGAGACTTCTTCATTCACGTCCCTTCTTATACTACTTATATCGTTCGTATCAGTAGCACACACCACACTGGTACTAAAGATCTTCAGTGACCGGTATTCAATTGTTGTGCACTGTGGCACTGCTATCGTCCAGTTTCGTTTTTCAATCACATCATGAAGCAGAAGTATCCCTCTTCCTACCTGAATGGAGTCCACAAGATGATAGTAGTTGATGGTTAGAGACCTTGAATCACATGGCTCAAAATTGTTTTCAATGGCTCAAATGCATCCATTCGTTTTCTTTTCTCAAATTATAATCTTCTGAATTCTTCATCACTCCTATCTTTCTCTTTCAAAATTATTTCGCTAGATTATTCTTCTTGAGCCGTAATTTTCTCCATTACTGCTAATACTTCTACTACTTTGTTACGAACGCACGTAAACATGTGTCAATTGATATGCTTGAACTATTACGAATTTACCTTAGTCGGAAAACGAGAGTGAGGATCGAGGATCCAGCGACACGACAGGCTACTCTCATCCGAACGTCCCGAACCCCCATTGAATAGAGGAAGGAGACTTGATATGAATTAGAACGTGTATTCTACAAGCATCTAGAAAGTACGAGGTCCGAGTCCACAGGAGGCTGAGAATCCTGGACTGAGGATCCGGGTCCATGTCATAAAACGTTACAGCTAATGCGTATTTATGCAGTTGGGTCGAATAGGAAACAACGATTGAATTGACCAATAGAATTATACTTCCAAAAATAATTCGCTTACGATATTTGATGAATATCCTAACATACCTCTACTCTATTATGGGATTTGAATTGACATTTCGATATTTATATGCTAATGTGTTGCAGGAACTTCAAATGATGTACGTACGTAAGAAGTTCTAAGTTGTAAATGATTGACTGACAAACAGACTGCACATCTTTAACAACACTGATAAAGATGCTGACTGTTGTAACACACACTGATGATATTCGCCGTCACATTCATTTTGCTCTTAATGTTTACAATTTGTGTAGGTTAATGTTTTATTAATCTGTTAAGATATTCATCCAATATCCTATGAAGAATTATTTATAAGCCTGATTCTATTGATCAATTCCTATTGGTTAATTCCTACTGGTCGTCCTAACTGTCAATGTCAAAGACTTCAATGTTGTTTCCCATTCAACCTAACCGTATATATACGCATTATGTGTAACGTTCCATGACCTAAACCCGGACCCGGATCCCTAGTCCGCGATCCTTAGCCTCTTCTGGACTCGGACCTCGTAATTTCTGGATGTTTGTAGAATACATTTTCTAATTCATATCAAGTCTTCTTCTTCTAATCAGTAGAGGGTTGGGACACTCAGATGTGAGTAGCCTATCGTCTCGCCGGATCCTCGATCCTCGCTCTCGTTTCCAGACTTAGGTAAACTCGTAATAGTTCAAGCATAACTAAATTGACGTGGTGACATTCAAGCGTAACAGAATCACAATAATATTACAATTCTTTTGTCTGCTTTTGTTTGCTTTATTTTTTCAGTTTGAATTTTGCATCCTTATTTGTTTAATTTACATGAATAGAAATAATGGCAACAATTTATTCTCAAGTAAGTAAAGTATAACTTTTGATTCATTTGAAAGATTTGTCTGTCACGTTTTATTGATTATTTTCATGAATCATTATTTATTGATAATATCACTGACATTTAATTTGACGTTGGTGCTTGCAGATAAAATAAAGAGAAACTGCGATGCTCATCTCCGGTAGACTGAGTAAGTATTCATCGGAGAAGTTTGGCATTAGCGTAATTCATTTGGAACTCACGTTTAAATTCAAAAGATATCCCATTTTATGATGGGATATCGTGATGTGTAAAACTTTTTCTATATGGATGCTTTTTTGGGTAAAACTGATGATCTTTCATTGAAAACTATGAACTGGTCGATGGTAAAGTACTATTGAAAACCTAGAAGCTTTGGACGGCCAATTCTTCCTCGTAGGGGACTCCTCTTCACTTTATCTTCACGACCCAGCAAGCAGAGGTCGAATCTAGGAGCTTCGGTCTTTCACACGAGGACTATACACCTAGAACACTGAGTCGGCATCCGGTGGTGTTAACATCTGACTTCAGTCAATCCGCCAAGTTGCGTGACCATCATCCATTGTCTTCAGGGAAAAACTGCGTCATACCCGACAGTTTTGAATTCCATAGGTTACGACTCGACTAGCCACCATTATCTTTCACCTAATTAGTCATTTGTTTGAACGATCACTCCCCCAACTTAACTTTCGGCAGACGAGTGGTATGACTAACTATGACTCTCGAAATTTGGCCACGTTAATTGATGATAATAACTAGAACACATTTTTTCTAAACTAATCAATACATACTTTTACGTCGAGATGAAAAAACGCCCAATTTCTAACATCTTTTTATATTCCTTTGTTCCGCACAAAAATTTGCATGATAGGGTTGTGAAGATTGTTGAGTTACCTTTCGAAATCATGAGTTGGTCAGTGTTAGACCTAAATGAAAACCTGGAATCACTGAACGGCCATTTCATCCCAGTATGGTACCCATCAGCAATCCGCATCCACGATTTATGCTACTCGCGGAATTCATACACAGGACCTCCTGTCTTGCATGTGAACGCTCATCCACTGAACCACTGAGCCGGTATCCATCGGTGTTAATGTTTAACTTTGACCAATCCACGGCATTCCGCAACCTCATTCGCTGTCTTTGGTGAGCGCACACTGCACTGATTACCACTTCTCACTAGAACTCGCAGAAAATTCTTTATGGAGCTAGTCACCCATGAGCACAGTGGTCCAGTGGTTAAGCGTTTGCACAGAAGATCAAATGTCCTGGTCTCTAATCCTGTGAGTAGCAGGAGTTGCGGACTCGCACTGCTGACTAGCCTCATAGCAGAATGAGACGGCCGTGCTGTGTTCCCAGGGTTCTAATGATGGTCTGACAATGATTTATTCATGATTTCAACAAGCTATATCGAAATCAGAAATAAAGTCTTTAAAGGAAACAACTGCTGAGTAGATAAATACTGAAGCAGTTCTCGGAATGGAGGAGAAATAGATTTTTCAGCCATTCACAAGTAGTAGTGAGATTGAAATTAATTTCAAACTTGTACAACTTTAAGTATCGATATACTGATTTGTTATTTTCATTTTCTTAAACACCACTGACGGCGGGATTAATCTAAATTACATTAAAATCATAAATCAATCAATGCGAGACTACCATTGGAAACCTGGAAGCACTGGACGTATATTTCGTCCCGGTAGGGGAGTCTCATCAGCACTGCACATCCATGACTTTTGCGACTATCGAACTCAGGACATACGATCTCTCACGTGAATGTCTAACCTCTAGACTTCTGGATCTTCGTCAGATAATCACTGAAGGTCACGAATTCTTTACAATGCTATTTTGTCCTTATCAACAGCGCATCACCGTAATTTCACTGGTCGCTTTTACTGCTAAGCAATATTTAGCTTAAGATTATTAAACACGTATCTCATGGTTTATAATTATAACTACGGTCAGTTGGTGATCTAGCACGACTAGTCGACAAGTATGTATCAAATATTATTGAACGTTTTTGTTTACCCCGATTAATTCTTCATAAATGTTATCACCAATCAAAAATGTGAGTTTTTTCTCTCATCTTTTCTTTCCTTAAATTCTTCTCTCCCTAGTTAAACAACAAACATGTACAAACGTTTCACTAAAGGAGGATAAATACTATTATACTTACAATGAATTGATTTATGTATCCTTTCTACATGCTATCCAATTAATCTGTCGTGTTCTATGCTTTTCACATGGAAGAAATTTATTCCCAATTCAGTTGAAACAATCCAAGCTAATGACAATGATAAATGGTATGAACTGGTAGGACATACAAATTAATTTCGTGTTTATCTTGTATTTATTTCTCATGCTTCCGTATAAGTGAATATGACTCTGTCTGGAGCCCTTCTAGGGCCACTGCCGTTCCCAAGCCCGAATAGAGAAGGAGGGTTGGGTGTGGAGTTAGCGACACCATCGCGTAGAAGACTAAATCGCTTAGAAAAAACGCTACTATGTGACGTCAGTTCAACACATCCTTGCACATCAGTTAAGTGTGATAAGTAAATATACCTTGCTATGAATATCATTACCTACTAACACAGAGTTCAGGGTCAAGGTATAATAATATCTACTTATCTAATGTAAATACTGTTAATCGGTCGACAAATTACAAACATTCAACTCTAAGGGAATATCGATTGTTTCCTGCTTTAAATGTTATCTGACTATGGTTCATTGGTTTTAATTCTGCCTGATAAGTATCAGATAATCCTCCTGAATCGAAGCCTGTTTACCAACTTATTTCGGAGTAGTAATTCAGTAATTTAGAAATCTTTTTTTATCGAAAATTTTTTAATACTTAGATTCATTTAGATACTGCATCTAAATATCTTAGTGTGTTGTCTAAATAGAATTTCTCCATGTACGACTTGTAGGTCAACAAGACAAACTACGAGTCATACTTCACTTCTACCTGAAATTCGTGCTGAGGATATTGTTCAGTAGGACAATAAATGAAAGCTCCACAACCAAAACGTCCAGCTCAGAGAACGAAACTCCACCGTAATCATCCACTTGAGCTACAAATTTTCTCCACCATATTTGTTGTATAGTCAATGTCGTGGATTAGCTTTAGTTAAACAACTTTTGAGTAACTGTCATGGATAAGTGTTTCATGCTAGTGTAGAACTCCTCGTCGGGATCGCGCATCTGAACCTCTTCATCAGAAATCGAACCTATTACCTTCGGAAGTCAAACGTGTGAAAGATTAGATATCATCACAGTGGTTCAGAAGTTAAGTGCTCGGGTGTGAGACAGAAGACAGTTGACTAACGAAATGTGTACATTTTATCTTTAGACTTCCATTTGCAAAACAAACAGATTATTGGTTGTCTTTTAGTCTACAAACACTTTGACCGCCTCATACATCCGAGTCCGGCATTCTTCACTCCAACAGTAACTTCTGGGTGACACTTCTCTGCATACTATACTAGTAAGCCATGCTGGAAATAGTATTCACCATACTGAATTCGATTCCTAGTTGTGGGTTTGTAGATGGCACAACTAACTTTCAACCATCGTACGCTGTACTCTAATCGATTCCACAGCTAAGCTTCTACTTTTATGTTATTTCAGTCAAGCAGCCCAGGCTTATTAGCTTATATACACGAATTATCAGATAGCAAATCACACCAAATAAGAAATCATGGCGAAACTTAGTTAAACCAGAAGCGTCAGAAAACGGAGCAATAATTGGGGAATTTTAATACACAAAGCAACATTTAATAGGTCTCGTTGGAAGCTTTTAATAATGCAAATGTAGAAATACAATAATACAGTTATCTACCAATTAAACTGTCAAAATATAAATGATAATAAAGACTCGAAAAATAATCATAAAAGTTTTAACTTTCTCAATAATCGTTCTGTTATGACATTTCAGTCATGTTTGAATCTAGTCGGCTTGATATTTGATTCGATTAGTTAACCGATGAACTGATAGTGTCATGTTACCACCTGCATGTATGAATCGTAGTGAACCAATAGGGATGTGTGATGTTAGGTGATCCACTTAATCCGTCCTAAAAAATAGACCAAAAAGTTTCACATGGGCTACCACCACTACTACTTATGCCAGTTACCCTTCGTAGACCGTAGTCCGCCTATCAACATTCTGTTAACTACTCTGTCATAGGATATCCTTTCTAATGGTTACCAAATACTATTCGTCCGTTTGTATGTCCTTTTGCATTTCTCACCGCAATGTGTCTGTCTTTTATTCTTTTGACTTCAGGAATCCAAGTTAGGGCTACTCGGTGGTTTCTGAAATGTTTCCTATCCATATGTTGCATTTTTTCTTAATTTCCTCTTCAGCTGCAAGCTGCTTCGTTTTCTGCCACAGTAGGTTGTTGCTGATAGTGCATAGCCATTGAATCGAGGTTATCTCTTATAGACAGCTGTTTTTGGGTATCTGTACCTCTTTTTTGTTGATGGTTTTCATAGATCTCTGACTTTCTGCTTCATACATTAGGACTTTCTTGATACATGTATTGAGAATTCGGGCTCTACTGTCGGATGACAAACAGTTGTTTTGAGTTTCAACTGTTCTTTAATTGTAGAAATGCTGGCGCTGTTTTGTTAATCTGTGTCTTTATATCGGCTACAGATCTACTCGTGTTTATCAGTGGTAGTGCCCAGGTGTGTGTAAATGTTTCGAAGCCTTTCAGAGCTTCTTTATCAAGTATGATTTGATCGTGTATGTTGTGTTGTATCTAAGGGCTTTACCTTTTCCTTCGCTGGCGTTGAGGCTGCTGCTACACTGGTGGTATTCTGTTTTTCACTTCTTGTTGTGTGTAGGGTAGAAGAGCCAAATAGTCCAGCTGCATCCTAACTGTCCACTGTATTTCGTGCTTTCCCTCAGATATTAACGTATTCATGATTCAGTTAACAACCAAGAGAAAGAGAAAGGGTGAGAGTAAGCAACCTTGCCTTATACTAGATTTCACCTTGAACAAGTTTATGAGCTGTCCTCTATTCATGATTTTGCATTTTAACCCGTCATAAGGACTACGTATGATGTTGACTATATCATGTACACCACAATGTCAAAGAAGCCTACATGGTATAATCCTATCTAGATAATAGAATACTTTTTCCTAGTCAAGGGAGTGGATGCAGAGTTGTGAATTCCATTCGACTGACTGTTTCACTATAATCCGTGCCGTCTCAATGTGGTCTGTACGCGATCAATCTTTATGGGACCTAACCTGAAGATCTGGAATTTAGGCGTCTATTGAATCTTTCCATCGGTTCAACAACACTCAGTTAGAGACTTTCCCTTTAATTGGTAATAGAGTGATGCCTCTGTGATTCGTACACTTGCTGAGATCTTTCTTTAGTATCTTCACGGGGTGTCCTCATTTGCAATGTATTGCTGAATAGATCGTAGAGCATCTCTGCAGTTACTATATATGCTTTCAGTGCTGCAGCTGTTTAGTTGTCTGATCTTTTTGTCTTGCCACTCCTGATCTGTTTGATAACCATGCGGATTTTTCAACTGTTAAAGCTGTAACATGTATGGGAACCTCTTTGTTTGTGGTGGTGTTTGGTTCTCTGAGCTGAATGTTTTGGTTGTGGAACTTTCATTGTTCTTCTGAACAACATCATCAACACAAACTTCAGATAGAAGTGAATCATTCGAATTTCGCCGCCACGTTTCACCCGTAGCTTGTTGTGTTAACCTCGATCTTGATTGGTTGCTGTTGACCTTAAACCTGTCGTTGTTTACACCTTTGTTTTGATTGTATCCCCCTTTTGATCTGTTTCTTGATCCTATGTCACCTATGATTTTCCTGATCGAGGTTAGCAGAACAAGCTACCGGTGAAACGTGGAGGAGAAATTCGAATGCTACACTTCTATCTGAAGTTTATGCTGATGATGTTGTTCAGAAGAACAAGAATGGAGGCTCCACAACCAAAACATCCAACTCAGAGAACGAAACACCACCACAATCATCCAACTGAGCTACAAATCTTCACCATCTCAACCTTTTTGTTTACTACTTCGATAACTAATTAATTCAGTTCGATTGGTTTATTTAAAAGCTTTTCAAAGTGTTCTGTCTGACTGTTCTTCTGTTCTTGAATCTCAGTGACTGACTTCCCATATTTGTTCTTAACTGGTCATTCTAGTTGCGCGATATTTTCCCTCTAGCTTTTTCGCTGCATCATATCATTGTCTCACATTTTCCCGTGAAGAAGAACCATACTTATAAAAGCAACTTTTAAAATTCACACGAATCATTTATTTATATGCTTACACAATCATACGATTGCAGTGTTTATTTTGTATTCACACAATATACGTTTCTTTATTCTTTCTAGCAAATCAACCAATTACAGTCAATTTATTTTTATGTACAATGTTACAATTTTTGCATAGAACCATATTCATGGCAGAAGATATTCATCAAAGTAAGTTCATAAATCTTGATATGTTTAAGATGTAACTAATATTTTTTTACACATTTTTGAAACCATGAATCGATCAATGTTAGACCACCATTAGAAACATGCAAGCACTGGACGGCCGTTTCGTCCTGGTATGGGACTCCTCAGCAGTGCGCATCCACGACTCCTGCATCCCGCAGGATTCGAACCCAGGACCTTCAGTAGTGTAGGCGAAATGTGTAACTTAACAATCTTCACAACCCCGTAATACAAATTACCTGAGCTCACTAGTGACTAGCTTCGTGAGGAATCTTGTCCGAGTTCTAGTGGGAAGACGTGACCAGTGAAGTTCAACCTGTTCGGGTGTAGACAGTAACTACTACCGAATACTGTGTATGAGGTTGCGCAACTCCGTGAATTGATCAAGTTAGACATTAACACCGTTAGATACCGGCTCAGTGGTCCGATGGTTAGGCGTTCTCCTACAATACCGAAGGTCGTGGGTTCGAATCCTGTGGGGTGCAGGAGTCGTGGATGCGCACTGATGATGAGTCCCATACCAGGACGAAACGGCCGTCCAGTGCTTCTAACATTAATCTATTCATGGTTTCAAAAATGTGTAACTTAACAATCTTCACAACCTCATAATGTCATTTTTTTGTCATTAGACTTAAAATGGTATGACAATATCATTTTTGTAATCAAATATGTGTAATTGATTGTGTAAAACCAGATTATAAAGCGATGACCTTGATGCAACTAATCTGTTTTTTTGAGGTACCGCTCATAAGATTTTGTGCGGTGTTCAAAATTCAATATTAAAATGCATGTTTCTTACTATAGAACTTATTTAAACATACCTATTAATTCGTTTTCTAAGTGTTTAAAGTTGTTAAGTGTAGCTTTTGTGTAATTATATAGTGAATCTGATATGGTACATAAGTCAAATTGTCAGAACTACCGTGAATATAACCGCAACAGTTTTAACTCGAACTTCTTGCTGTACAATTTCCGATACTATGTTGTAACTTACAATTGTTGGCTGTAATGGAGAAGATAAGGGTTCGAAGATATTATCCAAGAAGTGTTATTCAGTGAAAGAGAGTGATAAAGGTGATGAAGAATCGAGAAGATCAGAATTTGAGAGAAGACAAATAATGGATGCATCCACGCCATTGCAAACAATTTTGAGCCACATCATTCAAGGTCTCTAGCCATCGGTTACTTCTTCTCGTGGACCCCAACCATGTAGTCCACACTTACCAACATGACTCAACCCAGTTGTCAGTGACTTCATGGATTTCTGCCATGTTTTGATTTGGTTGCCCCTAAGTTTCTTCCAACCTAATCCTACACCACAAAAAGTAGGTCGTCGAGGCAGTTGGTGATTGGGCAAACTTACAACATGTCCCAACTACCTCAGACGATAAAGCTTCAATCCTTCATCCATTGATTTGCCATCCTTATATAGTGCCTTATTCCTAGTGTGGTGTGAGCTACTTATAAGTAGTATATGACGTGACTGTCAGCGTAATGTCTGGCAGCAGAAGATGCGAAGAAGATCAAGGTAGGAAGAGTTAGAAAACAATGGAATTTGTGTGTGAAACGCATGAATAGTGACAATGGATTGATGTTTTGCAACAGGAACAGTCCAGTTCGATATGATGGACTCATATTTTGCTAATGAAGGATTTACTATATGGTTTTCCGATTTTACTGAGTACCTCTGTAATTTTCGTTAAATCCAGTCCGGTTGCCCCACCTGTGTTCTCGTTCCCTACACTAGGAACAGTTTTGCTTATTTAGTTTTCCCAGGATGTACGAGAAAGGCTTCGAAGACACCTATGATCGAATGCCAATAACTTAAGAATATCTTCTATAATCTACCTCCGATGAGTCCCCTACCAGGACGAGACGGCCGTCCAGGGCTTCCAGGTTTCTAATGATACTCTGACAACGATTGAGTTTATGATTTCAGTAGTCAGATTAGTATATTTTCATTTTGATAATCTTTTCCTTTTCTTTTCATCTTACAGCTTATCATCCTTTTATGATAATTAAAAATTGTTTAATTAAATTAACTTCATATGAAACAGTTTCGAAAAGTTGTGCTACACATGATAATTTGATCGATAGAAAGCATGCACATATTCAACAGTCATTGCATTCAGAATCATCGTCATTGCGGTCCACAATGATGAAAGGAGATGACGACGATGACGGTGATGAGGATGATATGAATTTAATTCAAATGAAAGAAACGGATTTATCATTTATTTCATTATTGATAAAATATCTATTTGAATTTTGTTTGAATAAGGTAATTGTTATTGTATATCCAGTGATGATTAGCTTAAATGTAATTTATGTATATGATTTCCGTTATGACTATGTTGGGTGGCAGTCATACGTGTTGTTACGGGTATGAGGGTGGATGTCACTTCCCGGTTGCACACAACATGAAAAGGGTACTTCTTGAGGAGACTGAAAAAGAAATCGGATTACCACTGGTCTGAGCGACTTGAGAGCGTGACCGCAGAACCCAGGGGACAACTGCTTGAGGCTGGTCATGCACAGCCTCTTTGTGGGAGGATTTTCAAGTGTTAGCTCTGCTCTTCTGTGAGGTAAGGTGAAGTGTGACATTTTTAGGGTCAACTTTTTCCAATCCCTTCCTTGTGAGAAGGAAGTATCGCTGCAGATGCCGGTTGTCCGAAGGTAACACCTTACAGCTGTCACACCCCTCTACAGTCAGTAGTACGAACTCGCCCTCAGATCTTGTGTTGCTGCTTTTATTGTTACCGTTCTCCAATCGACCTGCCTGACATGATAAAACCTATAGGAACATATGTTCTAGCCAATATATTGCTTGGTTAGGTCATCATGATAGGCGAGTCCGACCATCACGTCAAGGTAGCAGTTACGGTCGCGAGTTAGGTGTGAGACAGGTAGCCATCAAAGACAATGAACAAAATGATGGTCATACAATAATCATACATGGATTAACACCGTTGGCTAACAACTTAATGGTCTATATGTTAAGCGTTCGCTTGAGAAACCAGGGATCTTCGGTTGCGCTCTGCTTGATAGCCCCATACTAGGACGTCACGATCGTCCAGTTCTTTCAGAAGGTATTCAACATTAATCAGTGAATGATGTCAATGAATCAGATGATACTGATGAGTAATGTTAATTTACATTCATAATAAACTAAACGAGGCAGCACTGAAGTTCAGCCACAAAAAGACGTTTGTATGCTAACAAAACTTCATTATGTAAGAAAATGTAAACAGTGAATAAACATGAAACCAATCGGAAATGATGTAATATTCATTTTAACAGTAATTAACTGCCTAACGTCTACCCTGAAAGTGTAACTTCTAATAGAACAAACTAAAGAAACTTTCAAGCTAAAATTAGAAACCTGGATGCATTGGACGTCCGTTTTAGCCTGCTATGAGATTCGACAACAGTGCACATCCATGAGTCCTGTTACTCACAGGATTCGAACCCAGGAGCTTCGGTCTTGCTCGCGAACGCCCAACCTCTGATCTGCTGAGCCGGCATCCAATGGTATGTCTATCTCTGGTCTTGCGCTATTCGAAATAGTCGAAACTAGGAACTTCGGTTTTTCGCACGAATGCCTAACCTCTGGACCACTAAGCTGGCCGGCATTCAAAGGCTTTAATATCTAAGAATTTTACGCAACTTCATTCACTGTCTTCCGTAATTACTGCCTACACCAGATAGGGTTGAACTCCACTGGTCATATCTTCTCACTAGAACTCCTAGACTTTCCTCATGAAGCTAGTTACTGGTGAGCACATTTTTGATTTTGCATTAAAGTATCATGAAGATGTTAGTTTTACCTTGAAATCATGAATGGTGTTCACGTGCAAATGTCAAAGGAAACGAAGAAGACCAAAGAACACATTACGCCGAGAAATAGAGAAAGACATAAAATAAATGAACAAAAACTGGAAAGACCTAGAAAGGGAAGCCCAAGACAGAGTTGGTTGGAGAAAAATGGTAGGCGGGTGTAACAGGCGTAAGTAAGTAAGCAGTATCTTGGTTAACCGACAAGCTCTCTGCACATGCACATCGCTGCTTTTTAGGCAACACAAGGATTTTCACTGTAGCCAACAGTGGTCACCCCTGCCCCAATCGGGAACATACATGTTGTCCAGTTTGGTCTTCAAACAGGTCGGACGTCCTAAAAGCACACACACGAACAGTGGCCGCCGTTTGGGCACTTATGAATCAACAAGATCCCTCCACCAATCCACTACCCGAGATCTCCAATCAGCATGGACGGCAAGGAGGGCTTACCTAGCTATACCTGGCACCCTGAACGGATTATCGAGCCACCTAGCAGTGCACTAGTCAACCGTCTGGCCTCCAACTGCCTTGCACTGATGCAATCGATCGGAGCCCTCAGACCCCACATGAAGCTAAAGACCGAGTTTGTCCCACATAGTCAGCCAGAACGTACACCCTCCCATGAGGAAGATGTCATGGACTCAACCAAGTGAAAACACTCGGCCAAGCAGGGTTAATCCCACAGAAGTGGGCAGACATTATTGGCGTCCAGCACCCTTTCAGCCCTGGATCACATAACCCAACTTGGGACCATTGTTTAAGGGGGCCCCAGCGCCAGTTTACACACTACACCGAGATGCAGAGTGTTTGGGACAACCACATAGGGTCGGCGTCAGTAGTCCAAGATCTTTCGGGCTGCTTTCCAAACAAGAAGTCTAGGGCCGTCGTCAGGTATCCTGGAAAGCTATATCCCTTTAAAGGTATTTGCTGCTAGGGAATGATAGAGGACAAGTCCTCAAACCATTATCGGAATTTACCTACGATCGATGGACGGGATTCAGACTCAGAAGCGTTCAGTCTAAATCCACCAGAGTGGCTAACCGCATCCACGGCTCTGTGATCATGAACACGTACCATAATTCCGGACCATGCTAGCCGAAGCGCTGTAAACAACGCCACGTTTCCTGGAAAGACCACGAAGAGGTAGCCGCCACCACAACCCCCAGAAGTCTCTATTTATGCAAGCCACCTTATATACCCATTCAATTAGATGACAAGGCATTTGGCTACCTTAAGAGAGTCATAGCCATGCGCAAAACCGAAGGTCCTTTGTGTCGATTCCTGTGAGTTGCAGAAGTCGTGGATGCGCACTACTGATGAGTCCCATTGTTGAACGAAACGGCCATCCAGTGCTTCCAGGTTTCCAATGTGCTGGTCTAACAATGATTCATTCATGATCTCAAGTTAAAACTATCATCTCCATTATACTCTAAAAATTACAATTTTCATGATTATTTTAACTTGAATTTTTTTTTATCAAATTGACTATTGACTGTTAGTTTGTTTTTTTTTCACCTTTCACAGGATCCAATCAAATTGGAATTCATTCATTTATATAAATATGAAACATTTGTGGAAATTTTTCATAGTATTTTATCACATAAAACTGGTCAAACCATTTTACAACATTTGCTAAGGTATGCATGCATATTAAGTTGTGTACAGACAGCTAGGCATTCAAGTAATAATCTTGTTGATGTGATGTGCCTATGATCTGACTCTAGTTTTTGATTGAATCATGTTCATCAGTTATGCTATGAAATAAATTTCCTCTTCAGTTTTCGTGAATCATACTTAAGCGCAAACCTTGTTTTATGAGATGACAGTAATTAGAAGCCTAATACAGATTCAAATTGGATGAGAAGGCGAGAGGGAGTAAGCCAACTCTAATGCCCTGAAACATGACTGCTTGCCAGTACACTCACTTTCATAATTTTACACTTATCCGCTACAAGAGAAAGCTAGTTAGATGTCTCACTAACAGAACAAACTGGATCTGTTCAGTGGAAAATTTAAGTCAGTAACTGGGATTTATCAACAGCTCATTAACCCCGAGATCGGCTACCCTAGGGCGTCCTTAAAAGAATTCAGTAACTTCTTATCGTTCGGAAGAAGCGTTTATTAATTAAACTATAATTCAACGCTGATGTAGCTAAGCGATACTCTGCAGACGGATAGATTAACGAAACCAATTAACAGAACATTCTACGCGAGCAAACTTGCGGATTGTTCTCACATTAAAACTAGTAAAATAATTTTATAGAATTTAATAAGGTATTGTTGGAGATGTTAGATCCCCCAGAAATTGCTTGATAAATGTCTTTATACCACTGAGCCGGTATCTAACGGTGTCAATGTCTAACTTGATCAAATTCACGGAGTTGCGCAACCTCATACACAGTCTTCGGTAGACACTACCTACACCCGAACAGGTTGAACTTCACTGGTCGCGCACAATACCGAAGGTCCTGGGTTCGAATCCTGCGGGGTGCAGGAGTCGTGGATGCGCACTGCTGAGGAGTCCCATACCAGGACGAAACGGCCGTCCAGTGCTTCCAGGTTTCTAATGGTGGTCTAAAATTGATCGATTCATGGTTTCAAAAAATGTGTAGCTTAACAATTTTCACAACCCCGTAATGCAAATGTCTGTATTTTGGATTTTATTAATGGACCGATCAGTTGACCTTGAGATTTCGCTTCCCACCAGGAAAATCCTTGACTGTGATTGGTTACTGTGTCATTTTAGTGTGCTATTTTTATGACTCTCACAAGGACGTCTCTATAGAGTATAAATAAACGCAATTTGAGTGTTTGGATTCATTGTGTGCTGGCTGGGTGTTTGTAGAATACCATTTCTACACTATGTCAAGACTTCTTGCTGATACCTTTTGGTCAAGGGATCAGAGTAGCTCACCTGGACGCTTGTTCATTGTTTAGTTCTCGTTATTCAACTAAGGTGAACTCGTAATAACTTCGAGCATACCTAGAGTCGAGCGTGACAGGTATGCATTAAGTTTTTTCCGATTATTTAACTTAATGGAGCTGGAAAATCAGGTGATAACTTGTTGATATTTTATTTAGTGGACCTGTGATTTGATTTCATTTTTTGATAAATCATGTTCATCAATTATGCTATGAAATAAAATGTTCCTATCAATTTTCGGTTTTTGTGCGACGTCGATAATGTGAAGCCGAATACCTGTTTGAATTGGATGAGTTTGCAGTAGTGCCTCCACATATATTATTCCAGTTCGCTTACATTTAATTTGGTTAAGCCCTTTCGATTAATTTATTTAACCAAGCCATTATTTGTATTGCAACAATTTATATGTACCATTCGTTCTTATTATTATTGTCTGGTTTGTATGATGAGATCACATGACGTGTCCCACTTGTCATTTGACCTTATCAATCATTCGTCACTTTTATTCATGTGGGTGCATGCCTATTTCGCTTGTCACATGTCTGTCTTATATTTGTCTGACTATATATTCTTAGTCACGCTCTATCTCTTTGAGTTGGCTCATTAGCCTTCTCCAACGCTCAACACCTGTTCATTCGCCTCCTTCGCCCATTCGTTCGCATTATAATCCTTGGAGTTGGCTCAACAGCCTTCTCCAATTCACGTCGCTTCATTCGTTTTATTCACTGCTTCTCCGCTTCGCTTTGTGGTGTGTCCAAAAATAAACGTATTCAACACTACGAGTTCACCTTCTGATTTATAAACCGTCAGACACTAGTGTTAGTAACGATTATCGAGCTTAAGAACACGCAACAAAATCGACACACTACAAGTTTTTATTTCATGTAATTGTTCACAGAGATAGACATGAGTATAAAAAGTGTACAAGTAAAGTGGAACGAAGTGGGAGAAGCCAAATGAGCCAACTGTCCAATGTGTTGAAGTATGACTAAGTATTTATAGGCTAGACATGTGATAAACAAGGTTAACATGCGCACATACACACTCGAATTAAATCAACTAAGGTATAAACGAATAATTAATTGACAAGGTCGAAAGATGCCAGTCAGTCAGTCAATCAACCAGTTATAACGAAGAACTTCGTACGTACTTACGTACATACAAGTTCAGGCTGTCAAACCATATAGGCATACAAAAATACAACTGTCATTTCAAATCCCATAGAGGCGAAGATGTTATCTTCGTCCAACTGCACAAGTAAATGGCTATCTGGACTCAATCGGAGAGATCAGGCTTCGAAGATATTATTCAAGAAGTAGAATCTAGTGAAATAAACTTAAAAAGACAGAGATAAAGGTTATGGAGAATTCAGAAGGTTAGGATTTGAGAGAACATAAAGATTGGATTCACATGCACCAGTGCAAACGATTTTAAGCCATAGAAAGATGAGTCAGTAATGGACTCAAGAAGAATCGATTAGTTAACTTGCCCGACGGTTGGGACGAGCCCCATGAGCTTGACACACTGAACGATGAATTGAACAAAATTACTCATCTCACATTACAGAATTTATCCCAATACTACAAGTGTAGTGAACGAGAACATAGGTGGGGAAACCGAATTGTATTTAACGAACATTACAGAGTTACGCAGTAAAATCGGAAAACTATATCGTAAATCGTTCATTTGCAAAATATCAGTTCATCATATCGAACTGGACTGTTCCTGTTGCAAAACATCAATCCATTGTCACTCACTATTCATGCGTTTCATACAAATTCCATTGTGTTCTTCTAACTCTTCCTTTCTCTTGATCTTCCCCCATCTTCTGCTGCCAGACATTACGTTGACACTCACGTCATATACTACTTATAAGTAGCTCACACACAAGTACCAATAGTAATAATGGTACTAGAAAAGTTAATTTACAGAAAGCATACTTTACGATCGCTTTTTTTTGTGAAACTCTAAGAGGATTCTGCGAGTGATATGAATCTATATCCCTAATGTGAACAATTCAAAGTTGTGTCACTTGAAAATATCCACACGTGAAAAACATTTCTTACATGTAAAATTGTAAGTCTAGTTCTATTGGTCGATTCCTATTGGTCGTCCTAACTGTCAATGTCACATACTTCAAATGTTGTTTCCGATTCGACCTAACTGTATAAATATGCATTATCTGTCACGTTTTATGACCCAGACCCGGATCCCTAGTCCGAAATCCTGATTCTCTTCTGGACTCGAACCTTGTACTTTTTGGATGCTTGTAGAATACAGGTTCTACTTCATATCAAGTCTTCTTCTTTTACTCAATGGGGGTTTGGGACAAACGGGTTAGTGTAGCCTGTCCTGTCACCAGATCATCGATCCTCGCTCTCGTATTCCGACTAAGGTAAACTCGTAATAGTTCAAGCATATCACATGACGTTTTTAAGTAAAATGTTTATCATTCTCATATTTTTATCTTTTATTTTCATTTTTAGTAAACCATTAAATCTAATCAAGAATTTGTTAGATTTCACAATCAAACTTTTATATCATTTAGTAACAATAAAAAGAAATTCCATTTCATCAGTTGAAGAATATTGTATTCTTTTGTTAAATACACTGATTAAAGTGGTTCATTGTGGACATCATATAACTAGACGTGGAATAAGTTTACATTTTGAAGACATACAAGATTTTACGGCTGTACTGATCAATGTATGGTATCAGATTCAAGTAAGTTGTTTAGTTTAATTTATTTAAACTACTTAATAGATAATAAGTAGCGTATGTAAAAACAACAAAAAAGTTAATCGGTGTTTTTTTAAAAATCAAAATATAAGTTTATTGATAAATATATGCATTCGAGGCTATGTTGCCTAGTTAGCGCTTTTATTTACATTATTCAACTGATGATCTGCGTCCAGTAACTACGCGGTTCGAGTTCAGAAGAGAATCAGGAATCCGGGTCCGGGTTATAAAACGTTACAGGTAATGCGTAATTATGCAGTTGGGTCAACATTGAAGTCTGTGACAGTGATAGTTGGGAAGACCGATGGGAAACAACATTGAAGTATGTGATATCGATAGCTAGGACAACCATAATATTGACCAGTAGGAATTGACCAATAGAATTCTCTTAGGATATTTGATGAATATCCTAACATTTTGTGAGAGTAAAATCTAATTTACGAAAATCTTCGTGATTTAATTGCTTCAAAAAAACAAGTTGTGAGAAAATGGAGTGAAAAAATGCAGTTAATTGCATGAAAGGATAGGAGGATATATATTACTGATAGAATACTATGTTCATTGAAAAAGTCACAATTCTTTTTAGTGTAAATAGTTATTTCTAATTGAGCTACTTAAAAATTAGTAAGTAGTACAATTTTGTAACGCAAAAAAGAATCTATCGATCTGGTCATCTAGAGATAACCAGTTGTAACTATTAATATTTTAACTGTTCACATACATTGAAAAAACTAGACAGATTTTACTCGATGTAATAATTACTACAATGATTGTCTATTCTGTCCGTAACAATCAATATTGTATTTCAACACACTGTAATGAATGAGTTTATTAGCTATTTGTGCTACTGAATCAAAATATTTACAATCATTTTTCATTATTCTTTTTCTCGTGATATTCAGGAACCTAAGCTGATGTGTGAACTAAGGTAAGTACATTTTGTATCATATAAGTAAACATCTTTTGTATCAATATGAATCATAACACAACTGAGTTCGGTAATATTCGTAATCTAGGGCTAGATGGTTAATGGTTGTTGGCCAGAAATCCTAAACATGAAATCCGGTTGTTTCTGGTATCTGTAAGTTAGAATAACGTGGAATTTTTAAAGGAAATAATGCTTTAAACTCATACCATGTTATAATCGGAAATGTTACCAAAGTACCATTCTCATAGGTGTAGGCACTGAGATGGAATTCGATCATCACTAGAGACTGATGACTGAACAAACATGACATCGATCTCACCAGTCAATGAAATGTAAGTGAAATGGCGTAAAATCAATTGAAGTCGTGATCTTTTATAGCTTCTCGCGGCTGATCGATCAAGTCCTCAAGGAAGAAATTATATGATTGGTTAAGAAGTATACTGATTTTCTATGGGGATAAAATGTTTATATAAGTAACTATTTACATATGTCTGATTCAGTATACAGATCGACTTCCTCCTCTACTCTTACTCTCTAGCTCAAGTAACCAGTTTAAGAGGCTAGCGCTCAGACACTGCACATTATAGCAACGACTTCCCACTAGCTTCCTTTAACTTGAATGAAACAATTATTTTTCATTATAAAGTTATGAAGATCGCCGTTGATTATTGAAATCATGACCTAGCTACATAAGGAAATTCTCACCGTTCTACTGAGAAGACTTGAGCAGTGAGGCTCAAATCTGTCGGATATAGGCATTAACTATCGAAAACAACGAATGAAGTTGCGCAAAAATCCTTAGATTGATCAAAGTTAGACATTAACACTGTTGGACTCCGGCCTGCTCAGTGGTCAAGAGGTTAATCATTTGCGCGTGAGACCGAAGGTCCTTGATTCCATCCTAGCGAGTAGCAGGAGTCATAGATGCTGTTACGCCTGCACGTAAACACGTCAACTTGATATACTTGAACTATTACGAGTTTACCCCTTAGTCGGAAAATGAGAGTGAGGATCGAGGATCCGGCGACATGACATGCCACTCTAATCCGATTATCCCAACTCCCATATTGAGTAAAAATTAGAAGACAAGACTTGATATGGAATAGAACATGTATTCTACAAGAATCCAGAAAGTACGAGGTCGGAATCCAGAAGAGAATCAGGATCCCAGACTAGGGATCCGGGACCGAGCCTTGGTCCTGGTCATGGTCATAAAACGTTACAGATAATGTGTATTTATACATTTTGGTCGAATAGGAAACAGCACCGAAGTCTGTGACATTGACAGTTAAGATGACCATAAAAATGACCTGTAGGAATTGACCGATAATTCTCTTAGGATATTGGAGGAATATCCTAACAGATGCACACTTCTGACGTTTCCCATACCAAGACGAAATAGTCTTCCAGTACTTATGGGTTTCTAATGATGGCCTAACAATGACTGATTCATGATTTCAACAAGAAACAATCATTCAACAATTCTCTAATGAAGAATGTCAATGCACACATAAATAAACTTACTGTTAGGATATTCATTCAGTATCCTAAGAGAATTACTGATCAATTCCTATCGCACAATTCCTACTGGTCAATTTTATGGTCGTCCTAGATATCAGTGTCACGTGCTCCAATGTTGCTTCTTGTTGGTTATCCTGACTATCAGTGTCACATAAAATAATACTTCCTATTGGTCGCCCTAACTGTCAATGTCACAGACTTCGATGCTGTTTCCTATTCGACCAAAATGTATAAATACGCATTACCTGAAATGTTTTATGACCATGACCAGGACAAGGGCTCGGTCCCGGATCCCTAGTCTGGGATCTTGATTCGCTTCTGGATTCCAACCTCGTACTTTCTGGATGCTTGTAGAATACACACTCTACTTCACATTCAAGTCTTGTCTTCTTATTTTTACTCAATATAGGGGTGGGGATAATCGGATTACAGTAGCATGTCGCGTCACCGGATCCTTGATCCTCACTCTCGTTTTCCGATCAACGGGTAAACTCGTAATAATAGTTCAAGCATGTATATCAAGTTGACGTGCTTACACGTGCAGGCATAACACTTACTATCATCAACCAATAATTTATCATATATATTATCATAATTTTCAACTGATTTTTATCATTCGTTAATTCATCATTAATCACTCTTCAATTTTCTTCTTTTCATTTCATTTCATTTACATCTCTTGCCGATACAAAATCAATAATTTTGACAGGGCACATTTATCATCTACAACAACAACAACAACACAAGAAACTATTTTGAATGAATTAAAACATTGTTTAATTTATACACTTGGCAGTCCAATTGGTGTTGAATTATTCACTCAATCGAATTTATCATTATTAATGGATTGTATGACAAATTTACAAAAATATCTTTTAAATGAATATAATGTAAGTTGAAGAGAAGAAAAAAATAAAAACGTTAATTGATAAATAAATGTGTAACTTAACAATCTTCACAACAACCCCGTAAAATGCAAATTACCTGTGCTCAGTAGTGACGACGACTAGCTTGATGAGGAAATCTTCTCCCATGAGTTCTAGTGGTGGGAAGACGTGACCAATGAAGTTCAACCTGTTCGAGTGTAGACAGTAACTACTACCGAAGACTGTGCGTATGAGGTTGCGCAACTGCGTGAATTGATTGAAGTTAGACATTAACACCGTTAGATAACGGCTCAGTGGTCCGATGGTTAGGCGTTCGCCTGGGTTCGAATCCTGCGGGGTGCAGGAGTCGTGGATGCGCGCTGCCATTGATGAGTCGTCCTATACCAGGACGAAACGGTCGTCCAGTGCTTCCAGGTTTCTAATGATGTTATGACATTCATTGATTCATGGTTTCAAAAATGTGTAAATAGATTACTAGTTTATTTAACGATTATTATGTAAATAGTTAACTGAATTTATGTATTTTATATGGTAAATAGTAGTTATGGTACACAAATATATTTTGAAATCATGAATTGATCAATGTTAGACCACCATTAGGAACATGGAAGCACTGAGAGACGGTCGTTTCGCCCTGGTTTGGGACTCATCAGCAGTGGCAGTGCGCATTCACGACTCCTGCACCTCGCAGGATTTGAACCTGGGACCTTAGGCTTTGCTCACAGACGCCTAACCTCTGAACCACTGAGCCGGTATCTAAAGGTATTAATTTCTAACTTCAATCAATTCACGGAGTTGCGCGACCTTATACACAGTCTTCGGTAGTTAGTGTCTACACTTGAACAGGTTGAAATTTACTGGTCACGTCTTCCCACTAGAACTCGGAGAAGATTCCTCACGAATTTATTCACTGGTGGGCACAGGTAATTTGCAGTACGGCGTTGTGAAGATTGTTAACTTATAACTCCGTGAATTGATCAAGCTAGACATTAACACCGTTAGATACCGACTTAGTGGTCCAGAGGTTAAGCATTCGCGCCCGATACAGAAGGTCCTGGGTTCGAATCCTTCGGGTGCAGGAGTTGCGGATGGGCACTACCACTCATGAGTCCCATACCAGGACGAGACGGGCGTCTTTCAGTGCTTCCAGGTTTCTAATGGTGGTCTAACATTGATTGATTGATGGTTTCAAAATGTGTAACTTGACGATCTTCACAACCCCGTGATACACAAATATATGTTGAACAAATTCAATGTTAGATACTCATTAGGAACCTAGAAGCAATGGACAGCAAGACCGAAGATCCTAGGTTCAAATCCTGCGAAGTGCAGGGGTCGTAGATGTGCACTGCCATTGATGAGTCGTCCCATACCAAGACAAGACGGCCGTTTTTCATTGCTTCCAGTTTTCTAATGATGGTCTAACAATGATTGATTGATGATTTCATAAAGTAACTCAACAATTTTGCTTGATAGTATTTTGAAGATCGTTGAAATCATAAATGAATCATTGTTAGGCTACTATTGGAAACCTGGAAGTACTGAAAGACGGCCGTTTCACCCTGTGAGTAGCAGGAGTTGTGAATGCTCATTCTGTCCAGGTGATTCTCTTTGGTATACTAATTTTTTTTAACTTACATTGAGAATAGTATCCACCATTCTGAAGACTGTGGTTGAGTTTCGTTCTCTGAGTTGGAAGTTTTTGGTTGTGAAGCTCTCATTGTTCTCCGGAACAACATCATCAACAACATAAACTTCATCGAATTTTTTGCAGGTATGACCAGTAGCTTGTTCTGTGTACCTCGATCTTGATTGGTTGCTGTTGAACTTAAACCTGTCATTGTCTGCACATTTATTTTGATCGTATCCTTCTTTGATCTGTTTCCTTGATCCAATGTTTGTCCATGATTTTTCTGATTGGTTAATAAACTGGATCAATGTCGATGTATTTGTTGACTGCCGACTAAACTGAGTGCCAAGCTTCTAAACATTCTCTCTAGTGTGCCCACCTCTATCCAGTATATATCATCATTGTTCCACTCGAACGTATGTTCATAGTTGTCTGTATACATTGACACAGGGGGAGGAAATGTCATGCATGACTCTTGACTACTAATCTATGTTGTATACCGACATTCAATAAGGCGTTGGTTTAGCCACTACTATTGACCATAATCTATCCATAGTGTTGTTACAATTCTATTATAAAATGTAACTTACATGCATTATGCCTTTCTCTCTCTCTCTCTCTCTCCGTCTACAGATCATCTTTCGTCGACCGCATACATGTGGTTTCGTGTTGAGTCAGCTAGCATTGAATAAATTCAGTTTGATAGCTTTATTACAATCGGGCATTATGAGTTTATTGATAAAACATGCATGGCAGTCAATTGAATATTTTGATAGTACAGGTCATATAAATTTAACAGGGAATTATTATTCTACTACCATAAAAACTTATAATCCACCAATATGGTCTATTGATCCGATTGATAAAATAGCTTATAAAGTAAGTTTTAATTTTGAATTTAATCCAGTTAGAAAAATCTGAATATTCTTCGGTATACTCACACTAATGAGTGAATGATAACTCTTAAGCTTGAAGAGTTTAATTTACGATTAATAGTATTTAACTTACTTACTTACTTACTTATTTATGCACTTACTTACTTACTTACTTACTTACTTGCTTGCTTACTTGCCTACTTACTTACTTATGCACTTACTTACTTACTTACACTTGTTACCCTCAATGGAGCATAGGCTGTCAACCAGCCTTCTCCAGTCTACTCTGTCCTAGGATTCCCTCTCCAGTTCTGTCCAATTTCCGTTCATTCTTCTCATAGCTGTCTCTATTTCTGGACGTAATGTATTCCTTGGCCTTGCTGTTTTCCGCTGACATTTAGGGTTTCAAGTTAGGGCATGTCTTGTGACGTAGTTGTGTGTTTTCTGCAATGCTTGTCCTAGTCACTTCTAGCTCTTCTTCCTGATTTCCTGCTCGACTGGAATCTGGTCAATTCAATAAAAGTTGAAATAAATTAGAGACTTAGCAGCATAGTACGTTTTCTCAATGGCTGCTTTTAGTCCGTGTCTTCAAATCAAACTGTTCGGTTCACTTCTAAATGGTAGAAAGATTTAAAAATACTTTTTCTTTCAAAAGAATAAAAGAGAGAGATGTTTTTGACATAAATGAATTTTACACCTATTTGTAAACTTTAGCAAACAGATTAACAACGTCTTCGAATGTATTTTGGTGCCCTATTGATGAAATATTTTACCAAGCCTTGCCTCTGCTACAGTAGACAACAACCGTGTACATTTAAATATTGTTCAGTCCAGGTTGGGTACCTCATAAACTGACCATTATATGACTCTAACTCCTCTTCAACTTAGCTCAACTTCTAATTAACTTGAAATATTAATTTTGAGGATGAAAACCTTCAAGTGTACACCTTAATTGATAAGAAGTTTCAAATGATATGAGATCCTCAGATTCCTAGCGAGAAGCCGTGACCGGTAGCGTTCAACCCTGACGAGTGTAGGCAGGAACAACTACTACCGAAGACAAATGGATGAGGTCTTGCAAAACCTTAGAATGATCAGAGTTAGACATTAACGCCATTGGATGCTACCTCAGTGGTCAAGAGGTTGGGTGTTCGCGCACAAGATACAAGGTTCTGTGTGTCGATTCCTGTGAATAGCAGAAGTTTTGGATACGCATTGCTGATAAGTCATCCCACCGTTGGACGAAACGGCTGTCCAGTGCTGGTGTGGTGCGAGCTACTTATAAGTAGTATATGACGTGAGTGTCAACGTAATGTCTGGCAGCAGAAGATGGGGGAAGATCAAGAAAGGAAGAGTGGGAACACAATGGAATTTGTATGAAACGCATGAATAGTGACAATGGATTGATGTTTTGCAACAGGAACAGTCCAGTTTGATATGATGAACTGATATTTTGCAAATGAACGATTTACGATATGGTTTTCCGATTTTACTGAGTAACTCTGTAATTTCCGTTATATACAATTCGGTTGCCCCCACCTGTGTTCTCCTTCACTACACCGGTGGGTTTCTAATGGTGGCCTAAAAATGATGATTGGTTCAAGATTTCAATGTGTTATAAATTCCACTGTCCTTATTTATTTCCCATCTATAATTTCTTTGTTATCTGAATAGCCATTTGTCAATTTGGTCAGAGTTACAACTTCGTATGAATCTATAGAAAATTTACTTAGCCGTATGGATTTATTAACAAATAAAGATTATTATGATATTCGATTAGATGTACCTACTAATTTATCTGTAAGTAGTATGTATAGCATGATGAAATGTATTTGATTTTTGTATCCGCATTGATTTTATCAATGTGGTTTGAGAGTGGTGACTAACCAACTTACTTCGTATACTCTCTAATAGTAACTATTAGATGAATGCTTGACGTTCATTTCTTCTTCCTAGTATGTTTGTAATCTGAACATTCAGAAGTATGTGAACTTGATGGCTTAGGACGACCTTAAATACTGAACAATAGGAATCGACCAATAAAACTGAACTTACAAAATAATACTCACTTTTCATTAAATAATCACAAGAATTTCGAAAACTTCTCTTAAAGCGAGTCACTAGTAAACTAACGATTAAATTTAGATTAAGCGGCCTATAAGAAAGTTTAACTTAATTTGTAGACACAGTTGACTTGTGACTAATGCGTTACCATGACAAAGATAAATGATTTTCATTTTACTGAAATCATGAATCATTCATTGGATTAGACCGTCATTCGAAACCTGGAGGCACTGAACAATGCACTCTCTAGTGACTAGCTTCGTGAGGAAATTCTCTCAACGAGAAGACGTGACCAGTAAAGTTCAACCCCGTTGGACGTAGGCAATAACTACCGAAGACAAATGAGTGAGGTCGTGCAAAATCCTTAGATTGATCAGACTTAGACATTAACATCGTTGGAGGCCGACTGGCTCAGTGGTTAGGCGTTCGCGCAGCGGACCGAAGGTCCTGAGTTCAAACTCTGCGAGTGGCAGAAATCGTGAATGCGCGCTGCTATGTGATTCATCAGCACTATGCATCCACGACCCCTGGTAACCTCAGGAATCAAACCTTGAACCTTCAGTCCTGCGCTCGTATTCCTAATTTCTGGAAAACTGAACCGGCATCCAATGTTGATAACATAGTCTGACTACGAATAGTCCATCGTCTTGCCCAACTTCATCCACTGTCTTCGGCAAGCAATGCTTGACATCCGAAGAGGATTGAATTCCACTGGTCATGACTTCTTACTAGAATTTGGAGAAGATTCCTCACGGAGCTAGTCGTTAGTGAATTAATGATAATTTGCATTTTAGTATCGTGAAGTTACTTTAGAAATCATGAATCGATCAATATTAGACTAGCATAAGAAAAATCTGGAAGCACTGAACTGCTGTTTCGTCCTGGTATGGGACTTTTATGTTCGTCACTAACTACACTTGAAGCTATTACGAGTTCACCTTAGTCGATAAATGCGAACGAGACAATTACCAGAGTCCAGATAGACTACCTTCAATCCCAAACTGTAAAACAGAAGACTTGATAAGCGTATAAAGTATATTCTACAAACACCAAGCAATCACACAATACAATCAAGCACACAAATCTCGTTTATTTATACATCAAAGAAACGTCCTTGGGACAGTCACAAAAACAGCACACTTAAACGACACAGCAGTCAATCACAGCCATGGATTTTCCTGATGGGAAATGAAATCTCAGTGTCATTTGATCAGCCCATCCTCGCAAGTATGAAATCCGAAATTCAGGCATTTATCAAGCGAGTTCTTAAGGATCTAACATCCCCAACAGGTCTCATCATCAACAATGCTAATCCATGACTGCCTTAACTCACAGGAATCAATTTTCTAGATCAAACTTATAACCAGTATAAAAGCTTCATTACTGAACATCCAAAACTTCTCATTCTATTCCTCAGGTGTTATTTTCCCAATCAACAACTTATTTACTTAGTAGATTCTAACTAGAATACATAACTAATGAAAATTCTTTGTTATTCTGTTTTCATTCATGTTTATTCAAACTAATTTTTATAATGTTGTTATTTCGTTCTTTTGATCTTTTCAGCAATTTATCGATCGTATCATATTTGTAAACAGTAGTAGTAGTAATACAGCGAAACTTCATTCATTGTTCAATTCTGATCAATGTCAAGTATTTGGTTTAAGGTTAGTGAATTCCACTGTTGTTGTTGTTGTGTGTGTTACTGTTTATTGTTTAAAACTATTAGATTTGTGCATACATACATGGTTGTATGTTTGTATGTGTATGTGTGAGTCTATGATAATCTTCCTTTCATGTCATGAGGTATTGTTGATTCAATGAGCTAACACTGAATTATCACAGGAAACGTTACATGTTCGGATATTATTAGCCTACTATTATTAGGTATGGATGAGAGTTATCTGTGTAATCCATAGAGTGAATAAGCCATGATTAAACTCATTAAAATGTTTCGCATTATATCAGTATGGAGTTTGTTGTTTTTACACACTGAAATCATGAATGTATCATTATTAGACCATCATTAAAAACCTGGAAGCACTGAAAAGCCTTTTCGTCTCACAGTGGGACTCATCAGCAGAGAGCATTGACAACTCCTGCTACTTGCAGGATACAAACCCAGGACCTTCGGTCTTGCACACGTTCACTACATTTGGTGTCGCTGCCCGCTCGAAGGAAGGAGCTCCCGTGGTCGAAGGAGTTGGAGGACGGAGATTTGCGGAGCTTCCTGGAGGAGTTTGAGGCCGCGGTGCAGCTGGTGGGTGTGAAGGGGCCCAGGGCAGAGTTGGCGGTGTTGGGGACACTGCGGGGAGCTGAGACAAGATCATTGTTCTTATTTTGAAATAAGAATAATGATGAAGATGCTGACAAAATACAGAGTCTTCTGATTACCCTAAGCAACAACGCAAGCGTTGTCGTACACCTTTGTATTGCAACATGATTTATTCTGTTTTTTATCGATTCACACTGTTTATACCTACTTTATTTGTCTACCACTGGTAATGGCAACATCCCGACTGTTCTGGAGTTTATTTCCATTGACTTGATACGTTGTGAGAGCTTGAGTTGTTGCATATGTATCAAGTTTCTCATGATTTTCTCTACGCGCTGATTTTTTTAATTTTCTCCATTGTATATCAATACATGATAGATACTTTAATCTTTATCGAAATCTCAGCTCGGATACAGAAGGCTCGATTGGCTTTTGCCAATCTGCGTCACTTATGGCGTAGGCGAGATATCCGTTTGCTGACTAAAGGACGAGTGTACTGTGCAGTGGTTCGCTCCGTCTTGATTTATGGCTGTGAAACATGGACAGTGAGAGTAGAAGATATTCGTAGGTTGCTAGTTTTCGATCATCGATGTCTTCGAAGCATTGCTCGTATATCCTGAGACACCCGAGTGAGCAACGCTGTTATTAGGAATCGGGTGCTAGGTAAGAATGGCAGATCAATAGACGCAGTAGTGACACTTCATCATTTGAGGTGGTTGGGACATGTGTTGCGTATGCCTAACCACCGACTGCCTCGACGAGCTCTGTTTTGTAGTGTAGGAATAGGTTGGAAGAAAGTTAGGGGCGGCCAAACCAAAACATGGCATAAATCCATGAAGTCACTGACAAGTGAACTGAGTCATGTTGGTAGTTGTCGACCCTTCTTGGGGTCCGCGAGATGATAATAATCGATGGTTAGAGACCTTGAATGACATGGCTCAAAATCGTTCGCAATGGCACCGGTGCATTTATTCTTTGTGTTCTCTCAAATCCTAATCTTCTGGATTCTTCAACATCTCTAGTTTTGTCTTTCTTAACTTATCTCACTGAATCATACTTCTTGAATAATATCTTCTAATCCTAACCTCTCGGATTACTTCTAATACCTTTACTGCTTCTAGTACTATTGGATTTGAATTGACAATTATATCTCTGTGCTGATGTGGTATGGTGACATGAACTGATGTGCTTACGTACGAAGTTCTACGTTTCATCTGACTGACTGACTGACTTTAATCTTTATTATAACAATTTTTACTATTTAAAAAATTGAATATTGAACTTCACTAGAACTTTATATCTATCTA